CTAGTAAGTAGATACCTGTTTTCTCATTTTGCAAAATCTTCAGACTTAAAAACAATCTCATTTTTTAAAATGTCATAATTTGACTAAAGGAAATGTATCTTGGTGGAAAAAGCTAAAGACTATTATAAGCAACTCTTTATTTTTAGTTCTTCACATTCGCTTATGAAATATTTCAAGTTTATGATAATACCCACCCACGTTCTTATCACCAAGATTTCAGAAAGCAGTGTTAAATAACTTTTATTAAAATTCTTTACATTATGATAAAGTGACCTGAGGTGATATATTTGGCTTATGCAGTGGACCAAGCACAGGTTCTTGGACATTAGCACTGTAGAGTTTCAAGGCTGATTATAACTGCCATTGATCTCTATAGGACTCTCACTGTCACTACCACCAGAGAGAAAGGACAGTCTTTCCATACTTTTATTCTAACCTCAAAAACTATTATTTTATTACACACGCTCATATACTTTAAAACAGATAAAAAATAATATCAGCTAATGTTTATGGTATATGCATGGTATGCTAGGCACTATTCGGTTTTACATGCATCACATTAAGTGTCCCAGCCCTTTTTAACACAGGTAGAGTTACTTTCCTGTCTCATTGATGAGGAGGCTGGAGGTCAGAGACAAACAACACATTTCCTAGTTCAATCCCAGGTGTTTACTCCAAAGCCTGTTTGTTTGGTAACTGTTGTGGTGGGGTACCGTCCAACCTACAAACCCTCTGTATGTCTTCTCCAGTTAGACAGATTCACAGTAAGAACACTGGGGGATTTAACTGAGGTCAATTTAAGAGTAGGACTGTGGAGAGATTATTAGGATCATTTTCCTAAAATACACGGAAAAATACAGCTTTAAAATGGCACTGTTTAGGCATTGGTAGCTTCCCCAGACTTTATTGGAAACTCATGTATTAATGACTGATGGTTTAGTGTGTCTGCTCTGTAACATTAGATATTCTTTATTCTTGGATTTAGAGTCTCTCTGTGGGTTAGATGTGTATATTCTGTATATATTCCAAGTAAGTACAGCTTTCTTGGCTACAATCTAGCCAAGAAATAATGAAGTCCTTCCTGAAATGCCCCCCTTTTTCCCTGTAGACTCACCCAGTGGATCAGAATCCCTTCCTCCAGGCCGAGGGCTTCCTTCCTATCATTTGTATAGTGATATTTGAGACAACACAAAAACCCCCAAGTTTGACTTTTATTACATTAACTTTCTTCAGCAGTACCTTAGCTGATTGAGATTTGTTTCTAAGAGTTTCATTATAAAAACTTCTTGTGTTTCTGTCTTATAGGGCAACAAAAAATATAAAACTATTTCCTTAATACCACTCATGTCTCAAAAGAAAACTTACATTTCTGTCATTAATCTGCCATCAGTTATGTAAACTCACAATTCTTATTAATTCAAAACTCCTGCCTTTGGATCATCTCTTGTACAGTTGTTACATTTATATTGTTATTAAATTTAATAAGTTTTAACCATTAATCACAGCATGAAATCTAATCATGACAGATCTTATCTCTTAGTAACAGTCTTTTTCTCCTCTGTTGTCCTGTTTCTTGGTACTGTATCTTTGATCAAAATTGCAGCTCTAGAAATGTACATATATTTACATCTGCACATCAGCATAAGGAGATGAATCTTAAAGAGTAAAGTTATAAAACATATGCTTCTCGAGATGTCCATGGCTTTGCCCTTTCAACGTGCATTCCGTCAACTGTCTTCATAAATGTTAGTGAAAAACTTTTAGCATTTGTAAAAGTATCAAAATCTGTCTATTTTGACAAGTTTAAATTTCCTTATCCATAGAAATATCCTGTACAAAAATGCTAGCTTATTTTAAGACTTCTAGACTAATAAATGTAAGTCTGTGGGTATTCTATCTTCATATTATGGATAGGCTCAAATGAATTTCTGAATCTTTGTATAAAAATTCCTCCTTCCTTATTTCTGTGCTATCTGCTCTATTATATTATATCCCAAATTTAAGATTCTAACTCCTAGCATATAGTGTTGCTTGAGAAATTCATGTCATGAGTGCTTTTATCAAGTAATAGAAAAGATCCAGAAGTAACAGTGTCTAGAAATGTGTCTTAAAGGTGAAAATATTTTTATTATACACCTCATGAAAACAATCAGTCAAAACATAAGAAACCTGGAACTGTGGGAAGGGGAAAATCAAATGTTGCCATTTCTGTGTGCCTTCAGCAATTCCTTATTGATTACCTACTGCATTCTTGCTCATGAACTAGGTCTACAAAAGGAGTAGTGCTTTAATGGGGCTTTGTAGAAGTACCTTCAACAAGAAATAACATCTACTGCTTTTGGTTTTCAGATAAATATTTTAACAAGTGAAATGACATTCTTTTAGAATTTTTAAGCCTTCTCCTGATGATCTCCAAATTTATTACTTTTATAAGATAATAGGTGACAGTTTCAGAACACAGAGAGATCAGTAAAAATGTTATTTAAGTTTTATATTCTACTTAAAATATTGAAATATGCTCATTTCTCACTGCATTTCTTTCTTAGCTATTTGTTGCAGGGGACCCTTCTCTTGAATTTTTTCAAAGGTCCATTGAGGATCCACCCTCATATCCTCTGCATGGGAGTAATCACAATTTAATCAGAACAGATTTTAGTGACTCTGAGTTAAAATCTGGGTTTTAGATAGTAAGTTTTAGCTGCTTTCTTGCTCCATTACAGAGAGTTCTGGAGTGCTGTGGTGGGAGTGGGTAGAGCAGGGTTGACTTAGTCACTTACAACTAGAAGGAATGAGTTCATCATTTGACTTCTGGAGAGATCACCCTGATGCCACCTTGTCCCATCACCTTGTCCCTACTGCCTTGTATGAGGAATGGTTAATGATGGGTTTCTTAAGCCGAGCACCTGCTACTGTAGGTGACCCACCTTCCTTTTTAGTATTTCACACAGTTGGCAGCAGTCTTGATAACAAAATCAAAGTTCTTTTCTTTTGGAGAATGCTTCCTTTTTTCTCTGCCAGAAATATTAGAAAGTTATGAAATAGTAAATTTGTCAAGTTTTTCTTGGTGTGTGGCAAGACATAATAAAAATTTTTCATGAATTTGTTAACTGCCTTTAGATGTACTTATGTTGCCTTGTAAGATGAGAATGGGCCAAACTTTTTATATAATCCTAGTCCAAGTTTATCAAAGTCTTTTATTTACCAAAGAAGAAGAAGGCAATGTCTAACTCATTTTCATTTCTCAAGGAATATTTGAATATTATGAGCCAGACATTGTTTTAGAAATAATAGCAAGAGAGGAGGGGTAAAAAGCCCCTGCCATTTTAGTCATTTCTAATAGGAGCTGACAATAAACAAGTAAATAAACCAACTATATACTATGTTAGAAAGATACTAAATTGTTGTAAAACTAAAGCTCGGAAGGGGATAGGAATTGTTGGGAGTCAGGATGGAGCTCATGGAAAAGGTGATATTGGAGAAATAACCTGAAGAAAAAGAGGAAGCGAGACCTTGAGTTGTCAGGATATTAAAAAAAAAAGCATTCCCAGCCTCAGGGGACAGCAAGGTAACCATCCTGAGGTAAGATTTCTCCTGATGTGTGGGAGGAGTAGCCAGAAAGCCAGTCAGCCTTGGACAAGAAGATCTGAAAGACTTCAGGGTCAGGTCATCAACTATAAAGACTTTGATTTTTTCGGTGCCAAGTGGGAAAACGTTAGAGGGTTTTGATGACTATGTCGTAGAAGTTGAGCTGAATTGAAGATATCTGTTAAAAGTGGAGCCAACATGGTGGACTCAGTGTGGACTTGACTGTGAGATAGATAAGGGCAGTTGGAAAGATGACTTGCTCTTTGCTGAGATAGTAGAGGTTTGGAGGATCAGAATTGTCAGGATTTCAGTTTTAGACATGCTAACGTGAAGCTGCTATAGACATGAAGTGGAGGTCAGAACAGAGGTCCAAGAGGAGGCATGGGTTCATAAGCACAAAAATAATACTTAAAAGCAAGAGACTAGATTAGATCACCAAGAGAGTGAGCATAGATACTAAGGAGAATGTGGCCCAGGACTGAGCCCTGAGCAGTACCAATGTTGGTAAGAGATGAAAAGTAATGAACAAAGAAAACTGAGTGATTAGAGAGTATGAATCCCTGGACAGGAAGGGATGTGGTATCCTGGAAGCAAGATAAAGATTGTAGAAGGGTGGTCAACTGTCTTTCATGCTGCTAACAGATCACGTAAGTAAGTTCTGAGAAATGACTGCTGATATATTTGTGGCCAAGGTCATTGGTGACTTTGATGGGGAAAGTTTTAATAGATCAAAGGTTGGGAAAAGTTTAATTGGAGAGACTCAAATGGGAAAAGCTAAATTGGATATTCAAACTGGGAACAACTTTAAAGCAGTTTTGTTGTGAAGAATAAAGATAATATGGCAATTGACCAGAGGATATCAACCAGCTTCCTGGGGCAAACTTGTCTTAGGGTCTGTTGACATTCACCTGCTGTGAGTGGAACATTATCTGTTTGTGATTAGTGACATCAAAGGACCTTTCTTCAGTGGACATACAGTTTTTTGCAATGTTTTGCAATTATAAGCTGGGTTTCAGGGAGAGACTAATCAAGCCAGTTATTAATGTACAAATAGCCTTCCCTTTTTCATCCTTTGCTTTACATCCAATAATGTCTCCAGATTTTTCTTTTAAAGTTAACTTTTAAATGTATTCCTCACTTGCCCTCTGGACAGCGGTTCATTATTTGCATGTCTGTCTCCCATCCCAGCCTAGATGTCTTGAAAATGCCCATATTTAATTATTCTTTATATATCCATCCCACAGCATAGCTTCTGAACATGACATGTTTTTTGAATGAACTGCCCTTATGTTTTTTGAATGAATTATTATTATGTTCCATTTTGGTATTTGATGTGTTTGTTGTAAAGTTTAGAGTCTTCCTAGGGCTTGCAATTAATTTCTAAATATAGATTGTGGTTGTTTTGTTCTCTACAGAGTCCCCGTGAAGTGGTCAGAACGAGGACAGGCTCACTGCCACTCACCAGCACATCTGAAGGGAATTCATCTTTGAAAAGAACAAAGCGAAAAGCACCTTCCCCACCTTCCAAAATACCCCTGCATCAAAGTGATGAAAATGGCCACGTGACAGGTAACATTGCTCTTTCCATGACATCGTATTTGTATTGTTTAATGTAGACAGGAGAAATGATATAGGTCATAACTTACATCTTTTTATTAAATAATAATACTTAGCCTTTTTAAATAGTCCTTTATCACACTGTTACTTAACTACTTTGTAAAAATCTGTAATAAATAAAGTGACAATGTTGTATAGGTTCATTATTCTAAAATGAGCATATTTTAATTTGGGAGTTCATTCAGAAAGATTCTGCTATTACAGGATTAACTACAATTAGAATGAGAATCTAAGAATTTAGTCATTTCAGAGTTGGATAGTAAAATGGCTTCTAGCAAGGTTAGGATTCATTTCTTTCTAAATTATATAAAAATAACTGAGCTAACTGTCAGGAGTTGTTTTCTTTGTGACTATGACTTGTGTATAAGTTGTGTTGCTTCTTTTAGCCCTGCAGGCCGGAGATAGTGTTTCCCCGGACAGCGCTTCAGAAGCAACCTCTCCCGAGGGGCTCCCCAGCCCAGGTACGAAAGCTTGACTCCACCCCGTGTTATTGTTGAAAGAGAACTTTCATGACAATTGAGAAATGCATCTAGCCAGCATGCTCTGTGTATGAAAGAGAAAAGAGCTTCATTTCCCAATATTTACATGATGAAATGAATTTTCCTTGTCTTTTCCCCCTAGGATTTGAGATTAGAATGAAAACTTCATTTCTGAAATTGTACCTTGAGTAGTTTTCCTATTTGACCTCACTTTCCTTTTGCAGTGTCAGGTTGACATTTATTAACCTCCTTTCCCCCAAGAGTAATGACGCATCATGGCTAGGAAGGTACTTCTCTGTGTTTAGAAGAAAACTTACATTAAAATGTAAGCACAATTTCTTTAGGCACCTGTTCCAAATATGAATTCAGCATATTAGGTATCCTGCTCTAATGATTAAAAACATCTGATTAAAAATTTGTTAAATACTTTCTATTATTTAACTCATGGATTCTCCTTAAATAAATGAAATTCCAGTAAAAATTGAATAATACTGTTCCAATATTTTCAATGATAGTTTCTAAGTAGGTCTTATACATATGATAAAAATTTCTTACCCATAGTTAGTGTTAGATATAAGTGAATATGATAGGCCAATAATATTATATTATAACAGAATATTACTATCTACTGCTTTAGCATGGGGACGATTTGATAAATATGAAAATTATTTAATGTAACTGCCTAATTTTTATCATTTATTTGCAAATTTGGAAAGGCACAGGAGCATCGAAGCTTGAATTTTGAAATTTTTACATGATACTTAGGAGTTTGAAGTTTTAACAGAATTTTTCACTTTTTTGTGATTTAAAATATTACTATTATGCAACAACTCATGATTTTTTTTTTCTCAACATAGTATCAATGACTTCTTATTCTTTAAGAGAAATACACTGAGTAATGTTAACTTAAAATATGCAATGAAATTTGGAGATTCTGAAATATTAAAAAATGTGCATACTCTTCCAGTGTGCACATCTGCTCCTCTCCCTTTATTCCTGTTTACCTCTTCCTGTTTAATACATGGATGATTACAAGCTAACAAATCTGATTGCTTCTGAAATTCATGGTTTTTGCCTGCCTTAACATTTTTGTCCGAGTGGTATTTCTACAGATTCTACTTCTTTGGCAGAAGGTTCCCTTGGCCCTGGGCTCTTCTATCAGGAACAGCGCGCTTCGCCCAAACTGCCAGATGAAACCTCACTCTCCGAGGGTCCTGGAACCCCTGAGGCCGCCGTAGCCTCCTGGACATGTAGGTGGTCAGGCTTCTCCTGGCTGGGGCCTTGTTTATGCAGATTAAGGCTTCAACAAGTACAGACCTGCTTCCTTGTTAAGCCTTTCTGTAAAAAATGTTTCCCAAAGAAGTCTTTCTCTTTTCACTTAAAATTCTTAGTTTCACATGTGCTGTTTTCTCTAACTATATGAATGAATATGACAAAGTGTAGGATTAATGAAATCAGTGGTTCTAAATGATTTCCTGTTCTTTTCTATGTGACTTTCTACTTTTTGAGGGAACTGTTTGAACTTGATAATATAATATATACAATTTTAAATATATTTAACATAGTATTAAATATTATATTTACTATATTATATTAAAATATAATGTAATATAATATGTGTTAAAGAATATTTGTATACTTTATTGAAATACTCCTTTTTTTATCTGTGTATGGCTATTGTCCATAATATTGTTCTCAGTTGCTTTTTCTATTTAAAAATTTGGAACTATTTTGTTACATGATAGCAAAACTCTATGTAGTATTTGAATTTTATCATAATTGTACTCAATTTTTCAGTGACTCAGAAAAGCCTGTGTCACTTCACACCAGCATATACTATCACTCCTTTTGGGATGCAAAATTGTGTGGCTATTTTGAAAAATAGTTTGGCAGGGTTTTTTTTTGTTGTTCCCTCATTTTTGGATGGGTTTGTGAATGGAATTAAACCCAGGCTATCATGCACGGCAAGCATGTGTTCCCCACTATGTTATATCCACAGCCCTTGAGAATTTTTTAAGAGAAATTTAAATATCCATTTTCTGTATGACCCAGCAGCACTGCCTATAGTTATTTTCCCAAGACAAGTGAAAAATCTGTGTACCCACAAGACCTGTGTGAGAGCTTTGTATTTATAATTGCCAAAAATGTGAAACGATCCAACTGTTCCTGAAAAATGGGTAAACAAACTGGACTGTGCATACTGGAATGCAATACTAATAACTAGGCAGAAAAAAGAACAAGCAGCTGAGCCAAACAACTATAATATGCAGAATCTCCAATGTATTATGTCAAATGATGAAGTCAGACTCAACTGGAGAGATACTGGATATTTTTATTCATATGACATTTTTGCAAGGGCAAAACTGTAGAGGTAATGGTTGCCAAAGGCTGGAGTTTGAGGAAGAGGTTGATTACAGAGAAGCATGGAGAAATTTAGGTATTCACCAGAAATTTTTCTACGTCTTGATTGTGGCAATAGTTACACAACTATCTACTGTATGTCTGTCAAAATTCAAAAAACGGCTCCTAAAATGGTGAATTTTACCAAGTGGAAATTATATCTCATTTTCCAAAGATGAAGGAAAAACAACTCTGGAGGCAACTACAATGCTCTGACACAGTGACTGTTTTTTGAGTGAATGAATAACAAGAAAAAGTAGTGTATTTGAATAGGATTAATGTCATAAAATTATATTTTAGCAAAGGAACAATAATTATTGGGCAATTTTGTCATTCTGATGATCCCCAGGAAAAATGTATTATCAAAAAAGTCCTAGTTAAATTTTAAGTTTTAGTAACTTCACAAGTAAAAGACATTTTTGAAAGTCTGTAGCATTTTACTTGTGAAGAAGTTATTCAAGCTTAAAATTTAAATAGTTATACTTCTTTTTTATATATTAGATTTTCTAAATTTTAAATAATTTTTATTTAAAATTTTTGTTTTAGTATTTTCTATCTTTAAAGGGACTGAAAAAATTAAGATGAAAATATTGAAATTATGTAAATCATAGTATGTGTAAAATAAATTTAAATGTGTATACTTTTGAATGGTTTTTGAATAATTTTTATTATTTATACTTCAGAAGTAGTTAGATCTTTAAAGTACTTTCAGATTTTGGACACTATTCTTTGAAAATGAATATTTTGCCTTTAGAGCTTGCAAAGCTAAAATACAGTAGTTATTATACATCACTTGTGAAAATTACTTATGGTTCATAGTCTGTACCACAGTTTCTTTTTCGTTGTCCTATAATTTGGTCAACACATACAGCTGAGATCGGGCATGTTCAGTGTGGTATGGCCAAAAAGTCTATGTTAGTCAAACATCAGAATGAAAATTCTCTTGCATGTTTAGAACGTTTTAAGGGAGTCATTGTCTTTTCTAAGACCTTTTATAACAAGAATGCTTTTCAAATTAGTAGATATATACATGTAAGAACTCTTATGTGATTCTTGTAACTATCAAGTTATACAATCTGTAAAAATAATTTGAAAATATTTTGAAAGATGCCATTCATGACTCATTGTCTTAACTGAAACAAGCTTCACATTGAGGGCATGCTCTTAAAGAAAAATTGTGTATCTCTGAAATATTAGTGATAGACATGAAAGAATAAGCTTAATGACCAAGAATATGAATAAACTTAAATGTTACCTCAGTTAATATAATGTCCAGAAGAGCTTAATATATTCTGAGGAGTCATTTATAAAACACATTTCCATCCAAACTATCATAGCCTTTTATTTTTCTTAATACAGTTTCACATTGTGGAAATAACACTTCTGCTGCTATTACTAGATATAGTAGGTTATGTCATAGCACATAATACTACACAATGACATCACAATAAGTATTTCACATGGCATGATAAAACATTTGCCAGCATCTGTATATTTGAAAATTCACCTAAGTTCTTCAACATTTTTCTAAGTAACTTTAATAATAAAAGACCTTTAAAATAACCCTTACTTCCTTGTCTCAGCCTCGAGGTCAGATGATCTTCCTGTCTTAGCCTCCCGAATAGCTGGGAGTACAGGTACACACCATGATGCCCAGCTCCATATTTATTTCTTAAAAAGCACAAATAACACACTTTTCTGCCTGTATACCTAGAGATAAAATTAGAGAAATACATTTTCAGTACTTTAAATGTTTCAAATGTGTTAAACTTTTCAAAAGTATGTTAAACTTTTTATTAAATTGTCTAGATACACTGATCACTGTAATAACCTAATGCTAAATCAATCTCTGTACACAGAGGTAAAATTGAGCTTCATTAAGATCCTGGTGTACAAATGCAAATGTTTAATTTTTTTAAGCAGAAAGCTAGAACTTCACTGTTTATTTGAAATTTCAAAGCTTATTTTACAATAAGTACAAGAAATAATGACAACATATTTTGTACAATAAAATAGTTGTCACAACTATTGGAAAGAATTAACATACACATAATGATTAATATAGGAAAATATTTAATAAAAATGAAGTGAAGGGAAAAAACTAGGGAAACAACATTGGGTATAGTATGCTCCTGTTTATATTAAATAGAAAATGAAACATGAATATGGATAACTGTTTATGAAAGCTTATGTTTTCTGATAATGTGCAGGAAATAATTGTCAAAGGAAGTTGCCTCAGAATCAGACTGGGAAAGAAAATTAATTCCTTTTGTTTAATATTTATTCTTCTGTGTTTTAAAATTATCTTAGGCATTTATATCAGTGACTCTTAACCTTGGTTTTACATTAGAATCACCTAAGGAACCTTAAAAATTCTTCACCCACCCTTTAGAGATTTTGATTTAATAGCTATGTGGTAGGGTATCAACCTCAGTATTTTCAAAAGAGGTTCAGGTAATTCTCAAGTATCGTCAGTACTGATAACTACCTTATCAAACTAGACATGTCCTTGTACATGTTCTTCTAATTTGCATTTTAAAAATTATTCATTTGCATTACTAGGTTACTGTATGAATATAAAATCATGTAACTGAAAATATATTCCTAAATGGGATATTTAACTTGAAGTTTGTGGGATTGACTAAACTTCCATGAGTAAAAGTTAGAATGATGACAGATTGTTTTTAGAGTTGTATGAGTCTGAGATAATCTGGCTATATATTACCATGATTATTCACCATTAGAAAAGTATTCCCCTGTTACTTTTGAACCAGATTTTGAAAGAGTTCAATTAATAATTCCTTGCCAGGATCGTATAGGATCAATAAGGTAAATTAATATTTAGGATTATATCTGCATTGCTTTGTAGCTGGAGTAAGCTCGGATTATAGCCTTGAAGAGATAGAAGAGAAGGAAGAACTGAGTGAGGTGCCCAAAGATGAGGCTGAAGATATTTCTCTGAAGTCACCAGACATTCCTTTTGTATCTACTGATATAAATACACTGAAGAAGGATCTTGACTCAGTCTTTGGCACTGATGGTGGAGAGGCCTCACAAAACTCCAAGGAAAAAAAACAAGCTACAAACACAGATGGACAGTAAGTAGTCTACATGCCAGGAGTGTTGGCAGATTCTTTAGTTAATACCATACTTTTTAAGTATAGATCTGACATTTTAAACACAAATGTAGTTGTCCTTTTGTTTAGACCACCCGTCTTACTACCATTATATTATATGTTTGTTAGTAAAGTGCCTATTTGCGTGCAATTGTGTTCAAAGAAAATAAAATTTAATAGTTCTAATATCCCTCCAGGTCACATCACCCATAACTTGTCTAACTCAAAATTTAAAGTTGTTTGTTTGGGTATTTTGCCTTTTTGACCTAAAGGAAACATTTAATTTTCAACTTTTACCAAATTCTCCTGAAGGGTTTTCACCGATAGGTATATGAAAACAATTTCACATATTAGAGTACAAAGATAAATCACCAGTATTATTCTTATACTCACCCTTACTGCACAGGAGAATGCACTTCCTATTTGATCCTAGGAATTGAAAGCTATAGTCTAGACCACTTTTATGATATTTGAAATGTAACACCATGAGAAAAGATGAAATAAACCAAGCGAAATAAACAGTGTGTATCAGAGGTTTACCATAATTTACATGAGATTGTCTCCAAATAGTCAATCCACATCCTGATTTATATAGTTGACTTTGCCAGATGCAAGTCTAAAATGTTTCATTTAATGTCCTTTTTCTTTAAAAGACAAATGACTGATAATAACAAACTAAAGACACTGGTTTGGAAGTGTCTACTTTACTAAGCTTCTTTTTTTTTTTGGAATACGACCACTATATGAAACCTAATGTTTAATAACAGCATTTCTTCTCAGTTGTATTTTTTATTTTGCTATTACATTTCCAGTATTTGACAGAAAAAGATGATTATTTCAATCCATCTGTCTTTGGAGATTATTGCCTCTTTTCTTATTGTGTGTTTGAACAGTATAACATACACTATCACATCTTCCAGAGGGGCACATGGTGTTGTGTATGGCACAAGCAATGAAGATATGGTAGCTGATCATGTCGGGAACTTGCAGTCACTGGGCCCAAATCAAAAGAATGGTGAGTTATATAAATAGCAGTAGCCAACACTGTCATCAACTATCATGTGCCAAAGACTGTTATTAAAACATATTAACTCATTTATAGGTGGCTTTATTTTTAGTCCCATTTTACAGGTGCTTGAGCCACAAAGATATTAAATCTTACAAGTAGTTAAGTGGTAGTCCTAGAACGTGAACTCAGGCAATATTATTCCAAAGTGGCCTCTAAACTATCATGGGTACATTTTTGTTAAATCCTAGAGGCTCTGTAACTTAAATTTGGGATCTTAAAATTGTATCCTCTCTGCATCTATTTGTGACTTTTTCCTTTTTCTTACTCCCTAGTGCAAGCCTATTTTACTTTATCAAGTTGCTACACTTTGGATAAAACTTGTCTTTCTAATATTCAGGGACCAAACAGACTAATTATGTAACCTTATTCACTACTGTTTTCAAGTTGTCAGCCCCAAATCAAGGTAGTTTTATAGTTTTCTCTTGATACAGTTCACTTAGTGCTATCACTTATTTGCCCTATGATCATGCTATCTTTGCATAGAAAACAGTTTTAATCTACAGTATATAACCATGCCTATTCAAATCCTACAACTTCATTTATTTTGTTACTTGATTACAAGAAGCCATGCAATTCTATATTGCAGTCTCCAACTGAATTAAGCACTTTTAGATCAGAGTATGAAATCCTCATAGCACCTAACTGCTGAGATAGCCTTAAAATATATACTTAGGATTAAATTTTAATTAATACCAGTGTGCAGTAGAAAATTCAAGAAATGCAGTGGTATGTTTTAAGGAAATGTGAAGGAAGTGGCTTATGAATGTTCAGTCTAATATAAGTCAATATATAAAATTAAAATTCATAGAAAATGTATATAATATAGTGGGATAGTTCTAATATCATTTTATGTGTGTGTGACATCTGTGGATGCCTCTGATTTGTTCTTTCCATGTTCACAACCACTTTACTATACACTGAGAAAGTCTAAAAGGAAATGTAAATAATTTCCCGTTCTTTTCTTTTTAACTCAATTTTTCACTGCATATGCTGTAATGACAATAGCATTCCTCTTGAGTATTCATTTAAAAGCTGCTTCTTTCTTTTTAAATAATTTTAACATTAAGTTAGTGCTAAAGTCACACGTGTATTTACATAGCTTTGATTTTGATTTGCATATGCTTTGTAATGACCTTTGTTAATTTTTAGGTGATTTTGAAAATAAGTAACTTCTGCTATCCTTCAAGTAGGTTTCTGTTTTTCCTTTCACCTACCATATGGGTTTTTCTAAACTATCCTTTCATCAGATAGTGGATGTCAGTATTGGTTTTGAGTAGGGAAAGGACAATTTTCTCCATCCTTGGGAAACAGCCAAGTCATTCCAGGAAACTGAGTAGCACTGTCAGATATGGATGAGGACAGAGTCACTGATAAGTTCAGGGATCATTCTAGATTTTCTGGCCTGATAATCAGGGGGAATAACTGTGAAATGTTGAGAAATTTAGAGTTAGACAAGTGTGACCCTGTGAAAAGTAGAAATTTGAAGTCCCAAAATAAATTAATTTGTATTTGTTTTAGGGAATTTCATTTAAAATACATTTCTACACTGATTTACTTTTTCTTGGAAATTGTTTCTATTGTGTGAACTTGGAAATACTTATATTCAGTGGAAAATGAGAAATAAATGAGAGAAAGAAATACATTTAGGCTCATTTCCTGCTGCCAGAAACCATTTGTTAAATTTGTCTGTGCTTATAATGGTGTTCAAATGCTTTTCATATAAATATTAAATAATTATGAACCAAGTAAATTAGGAGCAGAAGTAGAAATCTGCCTCTTCCCTGCTTCCTAATCATAAGTGTTCTTAATTTTTGTATCACCAAAGTTGGTGGTTGCTGCTCATTGAAGAAGGAAGTCACTCAAATAAGTGACACATGATCTGATAATATTTGCATTTTATTTGGGAGGACTAAAAATAAATTCCATTTCAAAATTATATATTTAATATAGGAATTTTGCAAACAATAAAGAATATTAAGTGTCATTACCAAATAATTGTGTTAGACAGTTCACTTGTACTCTGCATACTATTACCTTATCCAAAAAGGGAGGCCACTAGGATTTTGAAGACAAGGACAAATCACACTGGTGAAACAATTCTTTATGGGGGCAACAGTATAGAAATCACTTCAGTGCTAGGTGCTAAACACTAGGCACATGGTGCATATTCGTGATGCATGTTTCCAGATGCCCTGTTTTAGCTCTTTGCTATCTTGTTGAGTAGTAGTTGATGCTTTGTTAACCAAGATACTGCCAAGTGATTTTCATTTTCAGGAGAGCTGAACTAGAATCAAGAGGAAAAGTCATGCAAGGAAAAGGGTGATTGTTTTCCTTCTTGGGCTCTGACATTGGAATGAGGGTGCCTTTTGCTCATACAGAAAAATCAAAACCAACATAATTGTTTTTATGTAGATGAAATCACCCATGTTGTGACTGAAAGCAAATTCCTCCAAAAGGCTAGCAAGGACACCCAATTAATAAGACAATTAACTTAGATTGTTTTTACTTCAAATTATTGGGTAATGTTTTCTGTTGTCAGCTTTAATTAAAACTGACATTAGCTGGAATTGTTTTAATGTTAGGTTTGAAACACATGTACTACTCTAGGAAGTATAGAAAAGAGTTTAAATGGAAGAAAGGGGAATAATACAGGTTCTGAATTTGTCCATGTCCTTAAAAATGACAATAATGTTGCCAGATGCGGTGGTGCATGCCTCTAATCCCAGCACTGCAGAGAAAAAAGCAGGATTGCAATGAGTTGGAGACCAGTTTAGGCTACTTAGTGAGTTCAAGGCCAGCCTGGAATATGCAGGAAGACCCTGTATTGAGAGAGAGAGAGAGAGAGAGAGAGAGAGAGAGAGAGAGAGAGAGAGAGAGAAAGGAAGGAGGAAGAAAGAGAGAAAAGAAATAGGAAGTTTTTACAGTAAGGAGGAAAATAGTGTTCTGTGGAGTGCTTGTTCCAGGCAATTCCCTATCCTAAGAAAACCGTTATATAAATTATTTGTGTGTATATAATATAAGGTACTTTTTTCACCTTTTCCATCTGAGAAAAATGAGGCTCAGAGGGGTTATTAGTTAACCTGTGGCCACACTAGTTAAATAGGCTCCAAACTGAAATCTTTATGGTTGCACAGCTCATACTATTTTCTCAGTATGCTGCTATCTGCATTTGTATAATGAATGAGCTACAATTTATTTGCAACACTCAAACTGATTACAAGTTGGGTAAGATAGCCATTGAAAACTGGAATTATTTTACTTTTTAAAATACACTGTTTCTCCTCTCAATAGTTCAAAATGAAACTATTGTCCTTGCAACAAAAACAGAAGATAAAATGAAAAGTAGTGTGAGAAGAACAGAAATCTGTGGAGAAGATGAAGCCAAAAGGAAGGACATGAACATGGGAGCTGACAAACTGTCAAAGTGTCAAGCATGTGAACCTGATAGTTTGAGTTCCAAGGAAGGTCTTCAAGCAGTAATATCAGTGCCAGACCAAAAACTCAATCAACCCAGAGGAGAAAAGACAAAAATGCAGGATGCAGCAATTCAGACGACCCCTTCCTGTAACAGTTTTGATGGGAATCACCAACATCATCATTTGCCTGATGAAAGTGTACAAACTTCAAATAACAGATTGACTCAGCACTCAGCCTTAAGTCTGCAAGATGCTGTAGATGCCTCAAGTAGATTGAGGAGTCAGGGCTCCCTACCTGTACATCCAGAAGATAGACCCACCAGGAAGGATCCAGTTTATGCCTATGGTAATGATGAGCTTTCATCTCCTGTAGATAAGATTGATAAAAATTCAACCATTTCTTACCTAAAGAACTCTCCACTTTACAGACAGGACTACAATCCCAAACCAAAACCTTCTAATGAAATTACAAGAGAGTATATACCCAAAATTGGAATGACGACTTATAAAATAGTGCCTCCCAAATCCCTGGAAATACAAAAAGACTGGGAATCGGAAACCATGGTGTTTAAAGATAATCAAAAGATAAATACTTTAGGAAAAAAGCATGTTTCTGAGAATGTGAAAGAAACTTCCATGCAAACAGAAAACACTGCTACTTCTGAAGGCCCAATGAAGCCTGAGCAAGACCTGAAACCCAAGCCCAGCTTGAGAACAGAGCATCAGTTGCACAGGGCTATGAGCTTTCCCGATGGTGCCGTGACTAATCCTCTGAAACCTCCCAGAATGACTGGAGACACTGGCATGCCTCCTTTCACACCAACTTTGGAAGACATAAACAATATTTTGGAGTCAAAAATAAAATCTCGGGCTTCAAATCCCCAGGCCAAACCAAATTCTTTTTTCTTGCAGATGCAGAAGAGAGCATCAGGCCAATATGTCACATCTGCAGCTGCGAAGAACACACACACTGCACCTAATCCTACCCCAAAAGAACTCTCAAATAAAGATGTGGAAAGGGACACACTGCCTTCTCCAGAGCAGCCTCTTTCCCCTTTAAGTAAAACAACTCTCTGTACTCCACAGCCCCACATTAAAAACACTGATGATGCTGTCTTCACCCAGAAGCCTGCTCCTCCGCCCATAGCTCCTAAGCCTGTGCCTCTTCCCACTACTCAGCCAGCAGCAGTAAATCTGAAGACTTTGAAAGCTTTTGGTGCCCCCCGACCATTTTCCAGTTCCACTCCTTCGCCGTTTGCCCTTGCTGTAGTGAAAAGGTCACAGTCTTTCAGTAGGGTGCGCACGGAGTCCTCCAGTGAGGCCGATGTTGTCCAGCCTCCAGCCAACACAGAAGATGAGAAGACCTGCTTTGTAAATAAGTTTTCTGACGTCCCACGACTTGATGTGACAGAGAAGGTAAATTTACCTTTTTAAAAAGAGTACTCAGATGCAACCTGGTTAAAATAAGGGATAACAGCATGTTGGTATGTTCGTGTGTTAACAACTGAATTCATATTAACAGGATATCATGCTTCTATAGGCAAAGAATCAGAAACACGTAGAATCTAAGAATTGTAATTCAGATCACTTGACTAATTATTGCTCTAAGGTCATTTGTGTAATTATTAAATGTTTTAAAGTTTCTTTCTTCATACATTTGTACAGTTTCCAAGTTTAGAGTTGTAACTATTTTCCTGGTGTTTGCTGATTTGTTCTTAACTTTTCTGGACATTCTGGTTTAGTTTCTCCTCCAATTTTATAGTACTACATAATAGCAAAATAGTTTTCATTATATGAAACACAAGCAGTATGAAAGACTAAAGTTTCCGAGCATTCCTATGCATTTTCCTCTATATACATTCAACCCTAGTTTAGCATTAGTTACATGTAACTAATTTAAATTGAAAGTAGTTTTAATTCCCCATTTGTTAATTTCATATCACCTTTTCCAGTTATTTGTTTATTTACCAGATCATCATCTAACTGCTATCTAATAATTTATGTGCCATTGCCTTGGTAATTTGTCAACTCAGTAGTGTATTATGCCAGGTTCAGATAACATAGTCAAAGAAGAGGATGAAATTCATGGCATGAATCACCATAATCCACATGCAGTTTTTAAGAAATACTTTGTGTACTTTAATTCTGGTAGTGTTTAAAGAATACTTTCACATTATGTGACAGTTCCAGAAGTATTTTATACTACTTTTTCAAACATTCCTAGTGTAAAAGAACATTCACTATACTGCCAAGTAAGTTTTTTTTTTAATTTTAAAGCAATATTTATCTTGAAGAATATCTCTTCATATATTTTACATTTATGTTTATATTTTGGTATAGCATCAGGGAATGATGTATGATATAGAGATTAATTCTTGACTTGGGAATAAAGCCTGCATTTTCTTCTTGAAGTAGACTATAATTCCCAAACAATGGAACTTAGATTTAGATAATACAGTTTTGAGTTATTGGCTGAGCCCTTTTTAGCTCATTTTTTATAAGGATGTGTACTTGGCAGTTTGAGAAAGAAATTTTTTAGATTACTTGATATAACGTCTGCCAGTTAAATCAGTTACTAAATCTTCCCTGTAAAGTTTAAGTTTTTGATTCTTCAATTTGGAAGTTCCTAGTATTTGTTTTTAGCCTCATGGAGAAAATAAAGAAAACATGATCAGCATATAGTCCCTGTGACTTCCAGAAACCCAATATAAGCTTTTAAGTGTAGCAAAGTAATTAACACTCCTTTATTAGAAGACATATTAGAGGCGACCAATATGAAATTGTCCATATTTGACAGTCTTATACATTCAAAAATAGTCATTTTCCAATATAATATGTTGGAACCAAGAAAATGGGTTGCTTTTCAGTTTGTGGAATTTTTGGATTATTAATTTGGCTCTTCTAGCCAACTCCATGTATTTTCAAAGTCAATATTATTTGATTCAAGCGCAGTAAAATTATCACTGTTTTCTTGAAACAAAGGCCTTTTCTTGTTAGCCTCCTAAATTCAAGAGAAAGGAAGGTAGTGTCCTCATCTTCCAGCTCAGCTCTGGCAGCATGGGTAATTCAATGAGTGAGGAAATAGAGCTGTGTCTAAATCACCAGTGTGGCAAATGCTGATTCTTAAAGAACCATTGATGATGAAAATGTTTTGGAAAAAATGGTCCATTCTTTTCATGGAATTCATATAAATATTTTGCGTTTATTTTTGTAGCAAAATAACTCTGCACATAATGAACAGAATTCTCAAATGCCAACTCCAACTGACTGCCCATCATTCACCCTTAAGAGACACAGTTCCTTAACATTCCAAAGCTCTGACCCAGAACAGATCCGACAGAGTTTGCTGACTGCAATCCGTTCTGGAGAGGCTGCTGCCAAACTGAAAAGAGTAAGTTTTTTATCAGATGGGTGACAGTGGGTTTATTTTCAACAGTGTCAAACTAATACTTCAGGGAAATTTTTTTTCGAGCATTTAAATCTAAATAAGGAAGAGGCCAGAAGTTACTCTTTTATGTCAGGGGTCATTTTTAAAGCATAAACTGAGAGAGTCCAGAGTTTTAGACGTACTTAAAAATATATCAGGTCTTTCACAACATAGGCTAGGCACAGAACATGACTTTGGTTCATTACTGTATAACTAAATATAGAAAGTGCTCTGGACTTTTATTTTAAGAAATTCTGATATCACACCAAAGAATATTCTTTTGAAAATTCTTCCTTATTCCAGAAAAGGAGGACTTTTAGTCATGGCAGCCTGTAAGTTTTTAGTCATGGCTCCTCTGGGACCAAAGTAACCATCATATGTGAGACTTTAGGGAGAGTTTCATAGCTTTAATAAAAAAAAACAGTAGAGGGGCCGAGGATTTAGCTCAGTCGTTCTGCCGCCTGCCTCGCAAGCGCAAGGTCCCGAGTTTAATCCCGGTACCAAAAAAAAAAAAAAAAAAGTAGAGAAAAATCTGGATAATGTAGATGAGACCTAATACAGAAACAAAGTTGTCCAGGTCCTCCTTACTGTGATATAGAAGAGCAAGAGAGGAGATCAGAGTTTTGCCTTTCTTCGGGGCAAACACTCAATGAGGGTCACAGAGAACTTTTGCAGGTGAATTCCTCCCTCTGGCTCCTTCATCGCCTGAAAGAGAACAGGGTAAAGCTTTGAGCAGCAGCATCAGTAATGCCTCCCTGAGGCAGTCATCTCCCTAAACTTCTTTCTCATTCCCTCTATAGTCATCCTATTAGAAGTACTGCAATAATGAGGACAAAAAAGGTACTCATTATTCTACTGACTCCCTAGGCATTTCATTTTGTGAATTCTTTCTCTAGTCATTTTAGAAGCTATTTAAAGAAGAGTTAAGAAACCTGTGGAACAAAATATTGAGCTCAACAGAGAAATTTTGCAAAGATAGAAAAAAAAAAAAAAGAAATGCATCCTCTCCGTCACATCAGTATTTGCCATACTTAACTGGTTAAGCTCAATTTCCTCCATGTGTTTGTGCAGAGCAGTGAATGAAGATCTTCTTCTCTCCAGGATTTGGTGCTCTAGTCTGGGCAAACAGACACAAGGCAAAATATTGAGTGCCTTCAGGGGTGAATGAATAATTGAGGGGATCAGGTTTGAATTTTTCAAATGTAGGGCCTAACATTTAAGTACCAGGCAGCTTAAAAATTTGGTGTAGCTTTAAATACATATTGAAATTGGTATATTACAGATTGTGACAAATTTACATTTTGAGGGGGAAATATACGTGTGTTAATGGATTGCACATTCTCATTTATGAAACATTTTCTACTTCTAATCTTGTACAGGCTGAAGGTAAGTTTCAAACCAGGCACTACCAATCTAAAGCTTTAGCAACTCAATAAATTTTCCAAGTAAGTTTAAGCACAGAAGTATATATATTTTACTTGCCACTGTGGGTATGAAAAGGAATAAAATGAAGCATCTGTCTTCTATGCACTTATAGCCCAAGCCTGAAAAACAGTGGCACATCAGACCCACAGGAGAACCAAGTGACTACACAAAAATTTGATTGCAGTGCCTGGCTACTAAGTCCATGTTATTACTTGTTTCGTGAGCTAATTGCCGAAATCTGTGTGTTGGAAATACTTTTTAGGGCAACAGAGTTGTACAAGCCAGCAACAGGGTCCACTTGGTGTCCTACTGGCTCTGACTCGGCAGTCCTTTCACATAGAAAACTCTCATTGCCTTTGGAATGAGCTGGATATAAATCAACACAAAAAGGACTGATGATCCTAAATGATGATCCCATAATTGTATGCTCTTTAAAGTTCATTACTTTAGACCCTTGAGTATAAAATTTTATTTTTTTTGAGTAGGAGCTTATTGATAGCTCTGAGTCTTTAGGGTGCCAGCTCCTAATTTTTTAAGTGAACATTTTATACATATTCATTTTATTTCACTAAAAATGGACAAAGGACCTAGTAGTATGCAAAATATCCACACTCCATGACCAACATTTTTGCATCTAGTTATATACCCTGAATATTGTGATTTTATTTGCCATGAGTTAGCTATGTTTGTGAAATATTATTTGTAATAGCTCCAGATAAATATAACCCTAAGATCCCAAAATAATAGAATATGTAGTATTGTATTCAAAGAATAGACCACCTTACAGCAATAAAATGAACAATACAGCTAAATATGACAGTGTAGATAAAAGCATGAAAAATAACATGTGAGAAAGTTTGAGAGTATACAAAATTAATTCCTAATAGTGATGGAGGCCTAGTCACCAGTTATTTCTGAAGCAAGAATGTGGGCCTGGGGAGTAGCTCAGTGGTGCTACTTATGCTTGGCATGAGTGAGGCCCCACAGTCAAGCCCCAGCCCCAAATATGTTCCTAAATAATAATTCAAAAATGAACACAAGAAAGTTAATTATAAAAATTATGATTATGGGTCCCTCTACAAATAGAGGGGGATGGAGAGAGAGAAAAAGAAAGGAAGGAAGGAAAGAAAGTAAGTAAGTTAGTTGTTGAGGACTTACTGGGGTAGGACAGGCATACAGTTTAAGGGGATTTTTTTTTTAAAGTAAGTGTATGTTATTTTACTGTAAAAATATCTGAAATAGCCAAATTAATATAAAATTCTGGATAAAATATCAAAATTTAAAGAAAGAGAACTTTAGTAGGGGTCTCAACCCAGGTAGTGGGTTATTATCTATTTTTATTTGCTTTCACCATTATTATTATTATTTTCACCATTTTTATTTGCTTTCACCAGGGTGTATATTATTGTTCAGTGCACTTTTCTATATGTATATTTTGCTCCAGTTTGCAAAAACTAGTGAAATAGACGGAGGCGAGTTCTTAATTTCTTTTGATCTTGTTTTAATCCCACATTTTTGTCCTTAGTGAAGATTTTTCCTAGTTTCTTTTAAATCTTGACATTTCTTTTATAGAACAATAATTATATTGCCAAATAAATTCTCCAGTGATTTTGACAGCAGGTTTAGATTGTTCATCAGAAAATTGGCTCTGTGTTTTGTCTATATCTTGGCACCCGAATGTTCAATTTAACTGCAGATACCAACCTGTCTTAAGGCTCTAGTTCATGCCCAGGCAGTTAACCTTCACTATGTGGTTGGCTCGCATTAGAACAGTAATTTAGTTGATCACTGTAGTGGAAGTGTAGTCATGAACGTGCTATTTTTTTAAATGTTTCTAAAAATTGTTTCCAAATCTTAGCTTCATTCAACCCCCATATAGTCACAGAGATTAGTCGTGTCTTCATATAAAGCATTAATAAATCCAGCTCAATAGTTTGTAAATTATCTGTGGTATTAAAATTTATATGTGAATCAGCAAATTATTTACAGAGAATGTGATTAAGCAATCCATTATGATTGGCGTTTGTGGACCCAAGAACTTCTTTGGCTGCTTTCAGTCCTTATAGTGCCTAAATTACTAAAACCCAGGTTATTACACTATTACATATTATAAATAGAATAGTTTGTAAAAATAAAGTCTGAAAATAAACTGATGAATGAGATTTGGTGCTTGATATTAAGTATTTCCTTTGAATGCAAAATTTATCTGGTTAGATAGAATCCTGGAAGAAAAGCAAAACATGGATAAGTCACCCAGAATTTTGCTGGCTTGTTTTGTTTGTTCAGTTGTCCTCTTTTTTATTTATACTTTGTTGGCTTGAATTTAAACACCAGGTTTCAGGTTGACAATTGTGTGTATGTTCTTGAAATACAAATAGATGATGAAAGTTTCATAGTTATTTTCTATAATTAAGAAAGGTTTATGAATATTACTGAAAACTCTTTAAACCTTAAGGACAGATGGTCAACTAGTAGATATTCACAGTGTTAAGTTCTTAAACCTTGTTTTAAAAAAGTATCTTTGTTGTAAGTGCAATATGTACCTTCTTCAAAGAATTCAAACAATATGATTTTATTTTCTAAATGTTTGTGTAAAGTTAGCATGTCTCATTCAAGAAATATTCATTAAAGACTTCACTGTGCCAAGCACTGAAATAAACATTGGTATCAAGTGGCACCAAAATGAACATGATCTCTGTCAGAAATTATAGAATAATATTCTAATAATGCCGTCTTGTGTTTAAAAGCTTAGTGAGCAAATCTTTTAAGTATCAAAAGAAATGCTATTGTTCTCCCAAAATAACTTCTCTTGATAAACTGCTGTGTAAACTTCCAGACCACTTTTAAAATATGTAAACATATTTAGCTTATAAAAATGGAACCCTCTGTAGATCATTCATGAGCATCTATCTCTTGGAAGCATCCCGTCTTATTACTTATATATCTATACTATCCTTTTTACGACTACATAGTATTTAACTGTGACATAACTTACTTGCTACTTATTGATGGACATTTAACTGGATCCCATATATGATGCCACACAACTGTGTTTTACTTGTAGATATTTAGAGGTATCAGGGTATTTTTAGATGCATAAAATAAATTTTCTCTTTTACTGTAAAAAGAATTGCGAGAACTAAAATTTGGGCGTCAAGTACAAAAAATAATTCTATACACAGAGGCTTTGGGGACAGAGTCATCCCATGAAAAGTCATTACCTGACCTTTGTTGGCTGCACTCTGAAAGGAATCCCACATGGATACTAAAGAGGGTGGCCATGAGTTCCCTTCCTTTGGTGGCAACTCTTCTTGGCCATTTTATTTCAGGTGTGTAGCATCAACCACACTACTACATCCTGGATTCATGAGGCCATCAAGAAAATTCATTACTGTAGATGATCATTTATTTTCCTTTAGTAAAGGGCAAGAAATGAAACACAAGGAAACAGAATTTCAACCAAATTTGCCAATTTTCCTTTTCACTGACTTTGTTGATAGAAGAGTCTGTGGTCATTTGTATTTTGGTTTTTGTTTTATAAGATTGTAGTGTTTCTTCTGTACCTAAGTTAGTCAAATTATAATATATAGTTTTTTTAAAGTATTTTTATAATATTTCAAAATATTCATATTTACAATTATCCACATTATTTTTCTTACATTTTTTAAAATTTGAAGTTTCATGCTGTTTAGAAAATTCTTTAGTGTTTTTATTCACTAACAATTTGCAAATAGAAGACTTTGCTGTAAAACTTTGAGGGTTTATTTATTAGCTAAATGCCCAAAACCTCTTTTTCATTCCACAATTGTTTTGACATTATGGCCATAGATTTGACTCTTTTTTTACCCTTTCATATGAAATCATTTTTAAAAGCCATTTATTTTTATTGTTTTTAATAAATAAGGGATCACTAAGGGAAATTCAAATTAATATATATTTATAAAATGGTAAAAATCATTGCAATATGAATTTCACTTGACTGTTTTACATTTTCCAAAGTACTTTTGGAGAGCCAGAATTAATCTATCTAAAAATGGTCTTTAACAGCTTGTCCTGCAGTCTGTTTGTGCTCTTGTCCTTTATGTTGATTTGGTAATTTTATAAAGACTAAGATGTGTTAATGGATTATTTAACTTGTTTGTTGTGGAAATAACAACTCTCATTTTTCATTTCATGGTAGAGTGAACATTTATTCTTGAGTATTTGTAATTTATTGAATGAGAAATACTGAATGTTAGCATTTACAATGAAGCAGAAGTTAAAATGTGATAATTGTTGAAAAGTAGATAGCTGTTCCAATTTAAATTGATGGATACAAAGTGTGTTTGTTCCACTTAGGTTACTGTTCCATCAAATACAATATCTGTGAATGGAAGGTCAAGGCTCAGCCATTCCCTGTCCTCTGATGCCCAGGAGGGCTGTTAGATGTTGCCCAGGTGAACTGCACTTCTGTTTCCACCTCCCAGACCAGCTTCACACCAATGGAGAATGTGGGCAAATGTATATTCAGATGTACACTAATATATTATCTATTAAAGTATGAGATTTTATGCTATGGCTATGAATGTCAAAAGAATTATTAGAATTTATAATTTATAATAATTTGGGGCCTTTTTTATCTTAAATATGCTGCTTTAGAACTTTAACATAAGGTATAAATGACTTTCATTTTTTTCAAATGAGAAATAATTACCCTTTACTGATGACATATTCTATACAATGGTGACTTAAAAGTATAAATGTAGATTTATAGACTTATATTTGTGTGACACATAAACGGGCAAACAGACCTGACATTTGCTGCCTCAGTGTTAGTTTAATTGGAAATATTTATGTTACATTACAGGCTGTTTTGTGCTGAAAGAGTGATTAAAAAATTAGTGATATCAATTAAGTATCTAAAGTTCAATTACTTTCATTGATGAATCGTTTTGCATACAAGACTTATCTTGTGCATTCTTTTTATAATTACAAATCATTGTCAAATTTAGAGGAAGCATATTTTAATACTTCATGAACACGAACACTTAGTGTTTTAATCTTTAGAGTTTAAGTTGTACAAGGAGAATTTTAAATATTTTCTGTATATAATTATGACATTGAAACAAACATTACTTACGTGCCAGAAGCCTTAAAAATCTTCCTATGAAAATATCAATATACTGTACAATTATTTCACATTTGATATGCAGAGAGGAGTAGAAGTTGGTATGTATTCATATTGGAAAACTTTAAATACTATTTGAAAGTTTCAGAAATCCTGGTTTTAATTTAAGTAAAATGATAAAATAGTCACGATGTTGTTCAGATGCTAATATTCTAATTTACTGTACATTTATATGAAAATTCAAATGGTTAAGCTACACAGCACTTAATCTGGCAAAGTCTAGAGCTTGATGGTATCCTCTCCCTGCTTCAAGAATTTAATTACTCAGGCCAGGGATTTAGCTCAGTGGTTCTGCCGCCTGTCTCGCAAGCACAAGGACCCAAGTTCGATCACCGGTACCAAAAAAAAAAAAAAAAAGAATTTAATTACTCATTTATTCTAAAAAATTTTTTCAAACAAGCTGACATTAAATTGGTTTTCCCCAAAGCTACTGGAATATCTTCCTCTTAAAAAATGTGATTTTTTTTCCCCTCCTGTCTAATAAAAGCAAGTTGTATATTTGGAGTGGTTTTTTTTTTTAAGTATGGTTTATGTCCACTAGCATATTTGTGTGCCTCACCTAAATAATGCATTTCTATCAGACAGTAAACAAACAAGTAGTAGTAGGCCTACCATTTATCAGGGCTTCCTAGTGAACATTTAAGACCAGGCCTTGTGACTTCAAAATCTGTGGGTAAAACGTACAAAATTCTTCACATGGTTCCAGGTATATGGCAAGGGCATTTTTAGTGCAAAATGTTGTTGCTGTTTTCCTAGAATCACACTTGGAATAAAACCCTCATACATAGATATTTAAATTATGTCATTATAAACTAATAGAGAAAGAGAATTTTTGAAAATGTTCTTATATAATTGATTATCCCCTTAAAAAATAAATTTGGATTCCTACTTCAAACCATAATCAAATACATTTGAATTGGACTAAAGACTTATTTTTGAAAATAATATTTTAAAGCTTAGAAGAATATATTCCAAACTTTCAGACCCCAGCATGTGAAAAATTGTTTAAACATAAAGGCAGTTGTAAAAGATAGGTACAATAAATTTAAATCCATTGAAAGGTAAAACTTACATGTATACCTATAAAGGCAAAAAGGCTACAAGTAACAAAATATTTTTATATATATGAAAGGATTAATTTATAAAACAGGGAGAGAAAATCCAAAAGGCCAACAAACATGGAAAACATTCTTCATTGGTAATTGGGAAAATACTAGTTTAAACTACATAAAGATATCATGACAAACTAGCAAAAATATGAATTTCAAAACAGCACATTTTCAAGACTGAAGCAGTGGGAACTCTCTGTTGGAATACATAGGCACAGTCATCATTTTTAGTGTCTAGTAAATCAAATGTCCTTTGCCACATTACCTCAAAAGTTGCTTATGCATAAGTGAAATTTGCAGAACTGCACATGTAGACTTGTGTATAACTACAGAATAGGATGCTAACTGGTGCTCAACTTTGGTATTCATGTGAGAGACTTCTATCCAACAGTCAATATGAGCAAGCAAGAGTCATAGGTCAGCACAGAGAGACACCTCAAAAATAAAAAGAACTGGGCAGTGGTATTGCAGAGAAAGAGAAAAAGAAGAATTCATAGTATTCTTGGTAAGAAAACAGAAGGCAAAAACAAGAGAAGACCAAAATGTAGGGCCAAGAGTTAATAATCCAAGATAGATTTCCCATCAGAAATCTTGAAGATATAATTGTAAATAGTCTTTTTTAAAAGATATGAATAATTTTAAAGCAATACTGTCTATACTGGCAAAAGTTATGCTAAACCATATGGAATGCTTCCATTTCTTGGGCTCTTACTAGTTCTTTTTATTAGAAATTGCATATAAGACCAAAGCTATGACACTCCAAATAATCATTTCATTGACACTCCAAATAAAATATTTTAGCTACATCTGCAAAATCATATATAAGATCTGGCAGATACTACCTAAAGAGAGAGAGAGAGAGAGAGTGTGTGTGTGTGTGTGTGTGCGCGCGCGCGCTTTTGTATAAGGAGTATGGTTCAGAAATATAAAGGGATTTCTCAGCTAAAAAAAATTAAACTATATTCCAAATTATAAATTATCACTGTTTAAATATTCTTCAAAATACACCTCTATAACCAACATTTCTCTTAACTATTTAAGTAATACTCTATTTCCTGTACTTAATAAAAATAACCAGTCTTATCATTGAATGAATCCAGGCCTGTGGGTTGACTTGTTAATCCTAGTACTCTATTTATACAATTATTTTTCAAGTTTATTTCCTATTTTTATCTTGTCCTTCAACTGCAGTATAGTTCAGGGTTGCCTATTTTTAGTGCACTCAAGCACCACACCGTGGAAATGCTTTAGCATTTTACTATATAACCACAGCAGTCCTGTGCTTCATCTTATCAGGCTTAAGTGTCTTCCAATTTAAAGAGTGAGTCCCAAGTTTCCTGTACATATATGTTAATGCAAGAAGGAAAAATAAAAATAAAATATTTGGCTGCCTCTGTGTTTTAGAAGAGACCTTCAAAACCAAATCTAAAAAAGACAATACAATGCAAGTGCTAAAGATAAAGGAAATAAGCTTTTGTAACCCTGGAACCTTTGACTCACTCTATCCAGTCTTGATTTTGAGAATCCTGAAATATGTTTTTAAAGGAATCAGAGCAAATAGTTTGACTTTGACAGCTTTCTCTTTTAAATTCTTGGCTAGATGAACTCTCTGAATAAGCCTACATTCATTTAAGTATGAATTTAAAATCTGTGCATCCAACATATTTCATACCTGTGTTGGAGTCTGTCTTAGTTATTTTCTTACTGCTGGGACAAAAAACTTGAAACCCACAAGTTACAGGAGGAAAGATTTATTTTAACTCATAGTTTGTGTAGGTTTTAGTGAATAATCGGCTGGCCCCAAGGCAAGGCAGTATGTGGAGAAACAGTCCATGGCAAGGCAGGCAGGATGTAGTGCACATATCAATAGAGGATGAGGGATATATACCCTCTGGGTCATGCCCATAGTGACCCATCTCCTACAAGGCTTCACCTCCCAACATGACACCCCGCTATACATACATCAGTGGACTAGTCCAGTATCACACACCCATGATCCAGTCACCGCCCCAAAGCCCCACCTATGAGTACATGAGGCCTTGGGGGGACATCTAGATACAAGCCATAACAGTCCCAAAATGCCAGTTGTGTTTGAGTACAGGCCTTCAGAGATACATGTTCAGGTCTGTACTGTAACAAGCAAAATACACAATAAAGCAAATCATTTGTATTGTTTCTATATGCATGTAGAAGTTTATACTATATGTAGCCTATTAACTATATAATAGGATTATATCAAAACAGTGCACATACTCTTAGTTAAAATGCTTTATTGATAAAATGCTAAAGGTCATCTCATCTGTTAAAAATGGCACCAATAGATCTAGGTTTACAGAAACTTCAATTTGTTTTTTAAAAATGCAGAATCTGTAGAGTGCAATAATGTATAATGTGTTTTGTCTGTATTTGGTTGCTGTTTTCATAGTTTATTCAAATCAGCTCAATTCTAGATGGCTGAGGGTTTAGAAGAAAAGACATGAATATGTAAGTCTGATGTGGCATGGTAGAATGAGTCAATAGGAGCCGAGTAGATGGAGATGTAGGTTTCTTCCTTCCCACCCATCAGTCTGTCAAGGCCGTCTGTTGCATCATGTGAGGAAAAACAGCCCTTCTTCAACAAACACTGGCAGTTGGTCTTTTCATTTCTTCCCAGAAGTACTTGTTATCTGAAGGCCCCTGGAGCATCACAGAGATTTGTACCTTAAGGAATGTAGCAAAATAAAATTAGGATTGTTGTCTTGAAACTTTTAAGTGGTCATAAAAAATGTGAATAAAAATGGAAAAGTAAATGATTCCAACAATGCCTGCTAAAAATAATGTTCCTGATATGAAATTCCACTTTCTATTCACTTATGAGTGTATGACTTACCATAGGAATATCAAAGGTTTTGAAAGTAGCTATGTGCAGTGTGTCTTTCCTTAGTTAACACATAGTAGAGGGAAATTATATATGCACATTTAGACAGATGTTAGGTCTGTGTTATAGTATCATTCATATCTTCCCTCAGCACTTAACATAATTGTAGTTTAAAAGTTTGTTTATTTATTTATTGACTATTCCCCCACTAGTTTTATTCTTCATGGAGGTAGAGACCACATCTATCTCATTCTCCATCCTTCATCCACAACATTCCATACTAACAACTTTCCTTCTTGCTATATCCTCTTCTAAATGTTTTATTGATGTTAATCATTTAATATAAACAAACAAGAAACCTAGGAACAAATTACAGAGATCACATTCTAGTAAACAGAAAACCAGAACACACACCATTTACCTTGACTCTAGACCCCTCATTCTGCTTTATTGCCTGTCTCATTTGGCATTCAATAAAATTTTTTTTAAAGAATGTATGAGTGATACTCCATGGTTTTAGCTTGGCTAAATGAAAAACAGTTCATTTGAACTTTCTTTTATACCCTCATTAGAAACAGTGACCCCACCACCCTAAAAATTTAATTTTATAAGAAAGCAAAGAAAAACAAAACAAAAATCAGCATTAGCCAGTAATATTTATTGCATAATAAATACAATACTTTAATCTTTATATAATTACAGTAGAATTCTCTCAAATTTTAAATAGACATCAATGAAATTTTGCTTTAGATTTAATTTGTTCAAAGTTGTCATGATTCCCACTTAAACGTTTTGTCATAAACACACACAACTACTTTAGAAAGCATAGAACTCTCATAGTATTTTTGACAATGAGAAATTCCTGAAGTGAGTGTTCATTACTGGGCCAGGGATTTAGCTCAGTGGTTCCGCTGCCTGCCTCGCAAGCGCAAGGTCCCGAGTTCGATCTCTGGTACCAAAAAAAAAAAAAAAGTGAAGAAAGAAGTATTCATTACTCAGTTTTAAATACATTCATTAATTATTCACTGTATAAAGTACAAGGGTTCTAACTAATCCCCACCTCTCCATGAGGCCTTTATTATTCTTAAAAATGCAAGTACTTCTGGCTATATTCACTGAAGTTTCGTTCATTTTCTATTATAAACGAATTGATTATTGTTTCCATTTTAATTGATTTTCTCAAGAGAACAGACGTATTTTACTGTTCCATTTGAAATAAATTCTTACAAAAATCATAAAGGGTAAGAGATTAGTTATGTATACTTATATGTTTTCTTGCTTCAGAATTTTATTTCGTGGTAAAAGTTAAATAACACTTAATTGAGAGATTTTGCTGCTTTTGCTAGAATTGGTTTCATTCATCTCAACAATACTATGAAATTAAAAGTGACCTTTAAAAAATAAGAACTATTTTCAAGGTAGGGAAAAACTCCTTTCTCAAAATCCACATTCCATTTAAGTGATACCGCTTCTCTCTGAAGAAATAGAATGAGCTCTGTTAAAGTGACTTGTGTAAATGATCTCATTGTGGAGGT